ACTTAAAGTCTTTCCACAATCTTAGTGTAAATGATGTAAACTCCCATAGATGTAGCTTCATTTACTCACCCACTCAATATGGAGGCACAATGTCTCTTTTGGGGGGACTCTTTTCCGACATGACATAAAATGTCAGGATTCTTTTGACGGTGTTTCAAGTTAAGGATGATTCAAACACCAGTGTTTAAGTGCAAGTGACTTTTTGTATCAATGTATTTTAGAAATGGTAAACTTTTTTACTGAACAATTTTGGCAAAGGGATCACAGTTTTCACTCACTTGTTTTCTGTATTTTTTTTCTATTAATTTTGGAATTATTAAAACTTGGAAATCTACTGTTTGGACAATATTTTGCAGGTGTAAACATAACTGCTTTTCATTGATACTTTGTGAACTTTTTAAACAAAAAGACAAACATAAAATGAATGAAATATCCAAATCCTAAAAACAGTAGGAAAAGCATAATATTAAATCATTGATCAAAGTGACTATTTGAAGTTATTTCTCAATGCCGCATGTATTTAACAATTGTCAAAACTTATTTCCCTATGGAAATATTTCTTAAAAGACACAGTATTTACCTTGTATGTCATATTTCACCGCTTCCAAACTTCTGTTGTCATAACAATGTCAGCCATATTGGCTGTTGCTAAGAAGGGAGATAACTCAAATAATCTTAGTCATACAACTGATGTTATATTTAAGAAATATCAGCACATCATTGAGGTACCTTTTCAAGTGGTCATAACTTATTCTGCCCAAGGTTGATTTTGGTTTGGGGGGGGTTTCTCAGCATCACAGGAACCTATAAATCATTTTAAGACACAAATGTGCTTGTTATACTAAATGCCCGGGTCAGCTTAATTTAATGTCGATTTCTACTGGACTAACCTTGGCATAGTAACTCATGATTTATCTTGCTATTTCCCATTATATTGCTCTATTGCCATTTCTGCTGACTGTAGGCCTAATGACACTGTGCCTGATGAAGTCAATGAATCATGGATCAAATATGTGTGGTCAAAGGACACAGAAAATACAGACACTTTGAGTATTTATTTGTTGAATTTCTTGTAGATTTGTTACACCTATTGAATATATGTGTTGATGACTCTGTATCTATGTTTGTAAAGTTACTTCATCAAATTGTGTACCCTCCTGTCTGTAAAGTTGATTATGACAGGGAATAGCCCCCAGGGTGGGATCAAGAATTAGAGGAGTTAAAGCATGATAAGCATGGCTCTTAGAGCTCATAGAGAGCCAAAGTCTTGATATTTTCAGGTATTTTAGAAATTGTTTTAAGCATGTTTTCAGAGTTAAGAAGGAGGTCTATTTCTGTAAACAAAAGGAGAAGTTGGTAACTGCTAGTAAGGATTCTAAGCTATTTTGGAGGATTTTGAAAAAGTGTAATTCTTCCAGTGGTATTTCTCACTCTATAACTAATCAGCAGTGGGTTAGTCACTTAATGTCTTTACTTTGTGCAGATAAAGATGGGTCTTGTCTTTGAGATGAGGATAGTGATGTTTATTTGTTAGCTCAGAGATCAGAAGGGCTTGATGATCCTATTACTCTGCAGAAGTTTTACGTCAGATAGTCAATTCTGCTCATAATAAATCTCCAGGGCCAGATGGTGTTGCTGCTGAATTCTTAAAGGCTTCTAGTCATCGCATTGTACCATATCTTACTCAGCTTTTTAATCATATTCTTGATAGTGGTAAATTTCCATCTTGTTGGGGTAAAAGCATTATTTGTCCTCTTCATAAGTCTGGTTGTAGAGATGATACTAATAATTACAGATGCATTTCTCTCGTAGATCCTACTTGTAAAGTGTTTATGTCTATTCTTAATCGTCGCCTTCAACGATGGTGTGAGGTTCATAGCAGGTCCTGACTTCATTTTTATGGATGATAATGCCTGTCCAGATCGAGAAAGAGTTGCTTATAATGTTGTTTAGATCAACAACATCACACATATGGACTGGAATGCAAAGTCACCTGATTTTAATCCAATTGAACATGCTTGGGACATTATTGGAAGTCATGTTTATGGTCTCTATGCTCGCCCCGAGACCCTGGCGTTACAGAGAGAATGGCAGAACATTCCACAACAGCAACTTTAAAGGCTCCTTTGGTCAATGCAAAGACGTTTAAAAGCTTGCATTCGTGCTCATGGTGGTCATACGCGTTATTAAACACAGCTTCACTGTCCCAAACTGACTTGAAGCTTAATGTTAACATTTTCCTCCATCGATGCAGCATATTTTGCACGACTGTTTCACGGGTATATGCTTTTGATGATTTGTAAGTTTATTATTGCACACTACCATTTCATATCAGTTTCTTCATCGTGTGTACACACGTTTCACCTTTCTAATACATCATTCCATGATTTGCAATTTCAATAAATGAAAATGTAATGAGACAAAAGAAAATGTGTTGCTTAACTTTTTGTGAGGAGTATATATTAGCAAAAAAGGGGTATATTTTATTGTCTCTTTGTAGAGTTTGTCAAGTCTTTTGATACTCTAAGGCATGATGTTCTTCTAAAGTCACTCTATGAAGCTGGTATAGGAGGTAAATTCCTGTTAATATCTATGTAATGTTCTTTATCAGCTTCAGTCAGGTCATCTAAAGGTGTATCAAATAGTTTTTCTTGTAAAATCGGTACTCGTCAAGGCTGTGTTTTGAGCCCTCAGATCTTTATTATTTTCATAAATAAGTTATGCAGTCTTACGGAGTTTGAAAGGAGGTCAAGGTATTACAGTTTCGTCTTCTATTAGCAATCTCTGTTCCCTTATGTTTGCTGACGATGTGTCAGCAATAGCTGACACCTGTGCACAGTTGCAAAAAAAAAGATTAATGTACTTAGTAAATTTTGTGAGCAAACTGGTATGAGCGTGAATTTAAAGAAAACCAAGATTATTGTGTTTTGAAATGGTGGTCCCTTGCGCTCATATGAAAATGGGTAATGGTAATGTTATTGACACTGTACCATTTTACAAGTATCTTGGAATTATGTTCACCCCTGACTTAGCCTGGAGTAAATCTACATCTTGTCTTGCATCACAAGCTAATAAGGCAATATTCTCTGTCCTATCACCTATCCTATGTTATTGGTCTGAAATATGTAATACTATTGAAATTAAATTTTGTAAATATGTTTTGAAACTTGGAAAATCTACCTGTAACAATATGGCCTTGGGTGAATGTGGAAGAGTGCCTTTACAGTTTATTTATACAACCAATGCTGTGACATACTGGTGTAGACTTCTAAACATGCCTGTTAGTGGCTGTATCCTCAAAGGGGGTTAAAGTATCGTAAACTTATTGTCCCCCTGAAAGGGTACGTAAGTCCCAAAACTTTCCAAGTAATATTTCAACATACCAGATGTTTTAAACGTAGTATTTTTGTTATTTTAAATTTCGGCTAAATTTCCCTACAATCGCCAGCGGCCAGGGTCCATGCAGGTAGCATGGGAACTGTAAGTCCCCATGGTCCCTAGTATGGTGATCTACCTTCAATTGTTGGCGATCTATTGCCCGTGTTTTATATTGTATTGTCTTATTTGATTTAAATGTTTTAATTTTACATGCTAGTATTAAATTAAGAGCAGCGGTACTCTAGTATTTTTACTGTCCTTCGATGACAGGTTTTTACTTTCTAGATTTATTGATTTTAATATTGATGTAAATGAAATTGTTTTCGTCACTAAATGGCTGAAATTTTGTCGATGTGACGCTAAATATTAACTCACTCACTCTGAGCATGCCTGATTATAGATTACCAAAACAATGTTATTTCATGTTATTACCTTTTGACAGGGTAGAACGAAATTCATGCATATGGGCATTTAAAATTAAAAATATTCTTTTGCAATTTGGTTTCTGGTTTGTATTGGATAAGCTAGAAAATTGGTGATCACAAAAAAGTTATTGAATCATTTAAACAGAGATTACAGGATAATATATTCCACTCTTGGCAATCATCTTTGGATAGAAGCCATAAATGTTTTTATTATAAGCAATTCAATATTTTTTTAAATGTAGAGAGCTACTTGGTAAATAATGATATCCCTCAATATTTAAAAATTATACATGCCCGATTACGGTGCTGCAATTTTAAACTAGCAGTTGAACCTGGTAGATATATTAATGTTGCCTATAATGAAAGGCATTAACCTGTTTTGTTAATTAAATGATATCTTCGTTGTTGAAGGTGAATGGCATGTGTTTTATATCTGTGATGCATATTTTCATACCGGAAATAAGATCATATCAAAATATTTTAGTAAATGTCCATCAATTATTAATTTATATCAATATTACAGAGTAAAAATGTTAATATCATCAAGGATGTATGTCTATATTTATACTTTGGTGACAAGAAACACAAATCTAAATGAAATGCATTATATGTGCTCTGCTTATCCATCAATTTATGTTTATGTATTTTGGGCCGGAGGCCTGTTACTGAAATATAATTCCGTTCTGTTCTGTTCTGTTCTGTTCTGTTCTGTTCTGTTCATATGTGTAATTTTACAACCTGCGTTTGATCACAATGGCTTCAAAGAGTTACCAGCGTTTCTCATTCGCATGTCTTTGTAGTTGACTTTGTATTTGTGTGTGTCTGTGTAAATTTACAAACTGCGCTTGATCACAAGAGCTTCAAACTGCGTTATTACCTGACGCAATGATAACGGTAATATATGTTATGCTCGCCATTGTCATATATCTTGACTATTTGATAGTGATTTGTGATCTAGTCAGAGTTTTACAATGGACTTTGTTCTCAGCAGACTGTCTTAGGAAAATGAACAGGGTGACTGGGTCAATCATGCCCATCGAGGGTAAATAGGGGAATGCATCCCATCGATTGGATTGATTTCGTAGCCCGGGGAAGAAAACTGATTCAACTATATTATCGTCTTTATTTATGCTTTTATTTTAGGAATACAATGCCTGTCTCAAATGTCACGAAGATAAGACTCTCAAGTGATTCGGTTCAGGATATGAACTCCACCATGCCAACAGAGACGTCGCCCAAGATCTTGATGTGATTGGGTTTTGCGCCAGATACCCTTTCAGTCATGTTAGAAACGCTGGCACCATCAATTACCAACTGAAATAAATCAGCCATTTGTATAATTTCTGAAAATGTTTCAACCATAATCATATACAAAGTGCTATAACATGTGTCAGAAAAACAAACTCAAATATATATAACGCCAAAATATGTTCAAAATAATGAAAAATAATTCATATGACAAATTGAGTGAGTGACTTGATATTTAACGTCACATTGGAATTTCAAATATACCATGACAAGAACAGTTTTCACTTTAAATTGAATAAAATTGAAAAATAAAATTGGTCATGAATGAATCGGAAGCCATTTCGTGACAAAAACAAGTTATACATTCGCGACACATAAACCTGTGGACGAAGAACGGTAAAACCAACTAGAATATCATAGATGTAGATGTAGAAATGTAGCCATAAATCAAATAACGCATTTTCTACGATCCAAACACTTGCAGAGATAAATGCACTTTGGCTATCAGGGAGACAAGGGGTGGTGGTGTTAACCTCGAGGTTAAAGCGTTCGCTAATCCCTCCTAAGACCCGGGTTCGATTCCCTACTATACATTGGCACAATTTGTGAAACCCATTTCTAGTGTCCCCCGCCATGATTTTGCTTGAATATTGCTAAATGCCGCCCAAAACTAAACTCACTCACTCACTCAGTGGGACAATAAGTTACGTAAAATAATATTTTATAACTTGTCAGTTAAAATAGGCCCGCCAATTCTATTTCTTTTCATAAGTATTTGAAAAATAACATTATTAAAAGATCCATCATGGATGAAACGTTAAAATAGTAATTGTGATGGAAAATTTAATACAGTCAAGCAGGGCATGCTTGTATCTGCATTGGGCAATACGGCATCGTCTTAAAACGACCTATTCAATTTTGCAAATGACAACCAAGTAGGTTTAACCGCTGGACTGTTTTCATACAGTTTTCATACCGTCTTGGGTGTCCCACTTGTTTTGCTTTAGATCGCTGACGTAAAAAAGCTGCTTCTAATACATGTAAGGTATCAGAAGTGGTGTCACGAATTAGGTGAGTACTGCCTTAGCAGCAGAATCAGCCATTGTAGTACAAAACTTCCAACACGGTTGGGTATCACAGAAGACGATGTCGTATTGGCTTGTAGAAAGATCGTCAGACAATTATATGACACAGTGAAACAAAGTACTGTGTATCAACCACTGATCTATAGTACACTTTGATAGACATACCCTGTATACCCCGTACACATGTTTGCAACATACATGAAGGATATAAACCTGTTGTCTATATTGTATGAAGCTACATTCAACTGATATATCAACCCCCAAAGTTTGCCACCTTGAACATACCATGTACAATCCATTTTGAAGTGTAATGTCGACCTCTGATTCTTGTCCAACCGTCATTGATAGATGAGTATATATCTCTTCACCCCAAGTCCCATCAAACTTAGTGTTCACAACGATCACCATCCTGTGTGGGTGATAGTAAAAGCGGAAGTCGGAGTAAAACAAGTTATCTGCTTCCCTCTTTATCTCGATACGCCATCTGTAATGGTGAGGTAAAAGAAATGAAGTTTGACACAGAACAACTTTCACATGCAGGTGTACAGTAATGCCAACAAGGATATATTACGATTTTCTTTATCTTTCATATTCAATAATTGTTTGTATTTAGAAACACTGACACAGCATCTTAGCATCCTTCATGTGGCAGCCACAAGAAATGCAGCCTCTCACTTAAATTAGATTTAAATAAAGATCATTAAAGTTTCTGCAAGAACCCGAATTCGAGAGAAGTTATACAGTCAAAAAAGGTATTTGGAGTGAGTGAGTGAGTTTAGTTTTACGCCGCACTCAGCAATATCCCAGCTATATGATGGCGGTCTGTAAATATACCAGTCTGGACCAGACAATCCAGTGATCAACAGCATGAGCATCGATCTGCGCAATTGGGAATCGATGACATGTGTCAACCAAGTCAGCGAAACTGACCACCCGATCCCGTTAGTCGCCTCTTACGACAAGCATACTCGCCTTGTATGGCAAGCACATGGGTTGCAGAAGACCTATTCTACCCCGGATCTTCACGGGTCAAAGGTATTTGGAAAGTGTGGTTCAAACACATAGGTACAATCAAAGTAAAACTACAAAATAGCTTTGAACGAATGACAATGTTTGAGATCACGGTTAACTACACATAAGCCAAATTGAGCTGGTTATGAACATAACATTTATGGATAGAAACGACAAAATCCTTTCATACATCTTTAAAAAACCTCTCCTAAACTCGATTTGGAGATTGTATAATTTTAGTATGTATATGTTTGACGCTGCATTCAACAGTATTACAGCTGTACAACACAGTCTGGAAATAATCGAGTCTGGACCAGACAATTCAGTGATCAACAGCATGAGCATTAATCTCCGCAAGTGATACTATGACATGTGTCAGTGAGCCTGACCACCAGATAACGACAAGCATTGGTTGCTGAAGACCAATTCTAACCCAGGTCTTCATGGGTATTATTTTTTTTCCAAAGAGTGGCCATTCTGGTGGTCATTATAATAATGGATTCAAATGGTCATTGTAATATATGGATTCATGACGTGTGGTCATTAGTTTAGACAATCCATTGATCAACAGCATGAGCATCGTCCCACGGAATTTGGACACCGTGGCATGTGTCAGTGAGCCTGACCACCAGATAACGACAATCATTGGTTGCTGAAGATCAATTCCAACCCAGGTTTTCCAGGGTATTTGTTTTGGTTTTGGGGTTTTTAAAGAGTGGCCATTCTGGTGGTCATCGTAATAAATGGATTCAAACGTGAAGTTTCAACCTCATCGGTATGGACAGCAACATACCGATGACAGCAACAACTGCAAACACATGTATCGATGTGATCACAATATCCATCCCTGTCGTCATACAGTTTAGAATGCAGCAATAAACAACTGTTGTTTGTAAGTAGTGTTTGATTCTCATGTGAATATGTTGGCAGCTAAAGATTGAAGTGCCCTTAAAATATCATGGTCAGTGATCTGTTTGATTAGCATTTTACAAGTTGGTGAATAATAGGGAAGGTATGATACTTTATGGATGACAACTTCTTTATTGTATTATGATGCAACGTTTCGGTCACAACGAGATGTGGGACGGTGGGGTAGCCTAGTGGTTAAAGCAATGATCGTCACATCGAAGACCCGGTTTCGATCCCAGATGGCTACAATGTGTGAAGCCCATTTCTGGCGTCCACGTAGTGATATTGGTGGAATATTGCTAAAAGTGGCGTAAGACCATACTCACTCACTCACAACGAGATAATAACTATACCGAGACGATGCATCATAACATAAAAAAGAAGTTGTCGTCCTTACCTAAGTATCATACCTTTCTTATTATCACAGGCTGGATCTTAAAGGCGGTCAGTGGTCGCGGGTACTTTAGAGTTTTCCACCTTTAAGCAAAAATATTAGCCATGATCACTTCAGAAGGTTTGTGACGGGATACCTTCAAGAATGCTGTCTGTACACACATAACAATGACAATCCAAAGCCTTTTCACATTTGACATGCGTCTTCTTGCCAAGTGCGGAATGGATGCCTTGGTTGTATATACTTCTGCAATAATATTGATTCAAGAATTGAGACTGGCCTGTTTCATGACACAGTGATACACTGAACATAGTTTCCCTGTGCTAAAAATACCATATGGTTTTTAGTTTTCTGTGTGCTAAAATATAGCATATGGCTTTTGGTTTCTGTGAACGAAAGTAGGAAGTTCAAAGACTATGTGAAGTCCAACATAAGACACTCTGGCATGCCTCACAAACAGTTGCGTGCTATGGACAGAACAGGCTGGCGCTTCGTCACTACCCAGGCGCGAGACAACTTTGAGGATAAGAGACGAGCTGATGTAGCTGAAGCACGTGCAGGAAGAAAGGCGTCAATCACTGACCCTGGCCACCCAGGACAGTTTCCATGCCCCCACTGCACCCGTGTCTGCCGATCGGGGATCAGCCTGAACATCCATCTCCGCACCCACACAAGAAACGGACTGAACACATGAGGACAGTCATCATTGGATCGATGGACGACCAAGGCTAAAGTATATCATGTTGATTTTAGTTTTCTGTGTGCTAAAATATGTCATAAGGCTTTTAGTTTCTGTGTACTGAAGTATATCATATGGCTTTTAGTTTCTGTACTAAAATATATCTTATGGGTTTTAGTTTCTCTGTACTAAAGTATATCATATGGGTTTTAATTTCTGTGTACTAATTCTATAACTTTCTGGCGTTGTATTCTATAACTTTCTTACTGATAGAAATTGATGGCAATTTGCATGAGGCACGAGGCATAAACCATGAGAGGATATTCTGTAGGAAGGTCACTATCAAGGTCAGCGATATACGAGTTCCGATCAGCAGACAACAAATACGGTCGGTATCAATAACCTTGTTTCTTGTGTCGGTGTCCCCCTGATCATCAGCCGGAACGTGCTTGGTGGGTCACATGGAAATGAAAACTGCTCTTCAATCTACAACAAACAAACACACACACAAACTTGTCAACTCCCAGTTTCTGAGGTGCCCAAAACAGATATAATGTTGTTTTGAACGATTGAAATCAAAATACCTGGAGGAGTAGAAGAATTCAGGTTCGCGGTAGAATATATTTCTTGTTTTAATGTGGTGAGTATGAGGGAAGTGGTCTCCACAGCGAAATATTTACATCGAAACATATTCCCGTTAATCGATCTGCGTTTGTTGAGTGGGAATGAAGCATTATTGCTGTGGTTTTGCCCAAGCGTGTTGGTTACCGTGACAGGGTTGATTTGAAAAGTGTTAAGTGTTTTTACCGACTTTCCTATTAACCTTTGTCTATGATAGGTAAGGGAGTGTTCACAGAAGGGTTTTAACGCAAGTTGTCCCGAGAAACACGAGATACTACAGGATATCGATTGGTCGGGAGATATGTGATTAGATGCTTTGTATACACCATTCAATAGGTGATGCAAATTTATCATTTCATAAATTTCGCCAAAATCCGTACAAATATTGGAGGATACTTTTCTTGTTAACAGAGGTCGCTTTGTTTCATATTGGAAGTTCAAATTAGTTGCGACAATATGTTGAACCTGTTACACATGCTCATTGATATAAAGACAGCTGGCAGCATTTATATAGAATTCTCAGAATGTAGAAGTTTTTTTCTATATTTAATGAGTGACAAAATGCGTAGGCAAAACTCAATTTCATACCGGATTGTGCCACCTGTACTGTCCACAAAGACCACGTAAACTCTCCCACGCTCCAGATGACTGACAGGTGCTGGTGACATTGTTGTAGCAGGTTCTGAAGTCAGTGCCGCAGGAGAAGGTCGCCACAGCTCCCTGGTAGTGACCATCATAGGTGATGTTGGCGTCCCTAACCTCCGGTGGTTCACCACATCCTTGAAACTCTTCAGGAAATAAGATAAATTGATTTGAATTAGAATCCACGTCATTATATCCACAGCAATGATGCTGGAAATATATAGTGTCAACATTAGAGAATGTACAGTTTCGATTGGTTGCTGTAAGAGATTCAAATGGGAGTAAAAGGAAAACCGGCATGAAGGAATGAAAGTGAAAGGAAAATCCATGACTGTGTTCTCAGGTTTTCCCCCTAGAAACCTGCTTGCTGGAAAACATTATGCCTTCACTGAAAAAATATATCTGTTAAAGGTCTCAGACCTTAAAACATCCGTGAACATCCGTTATTTTAGAAATCCAGAAACGTCACCTTCAAAATCAAGAACTGTTGTCGTATAAAGGTACAGAAATATACTGATTAATTATCAGTGGAAAAAATAATTATTTTAAATTCATCTTATAGGGACGACTTCATTGATGATATTCCTTCCTTTTTCGTGTGCATTTTATATTAGATTCTGTATATACAAGCCTCTTTCAATAATCGAAATACTTTTCAGATCACCAACAGGAAGTATGAAATATGTACTACAGTGTGTACTTCCCGATGCACTCTTAAAGATATTTCCGATGGTTCCGCAATTCCATCAACGGATGTAATCTATCTGTTTCAGGTGCTACATTATTATATCAAACGAATGTTCAGCAATGAGTAATCTCCCCCTGACATGCATTCTACATGTGGACACAGACATCCAGGAGCCCGTGAGACCTTTTGACAGTAAAACCTGGCAGACTATACAGGGAGTTGCCAAAAACAGACTTGAAAAATACTCTTCGTCAAAGTATATAACAGCGTGTACATACTTGCGAAATCTAGATGCCATTGATGATTCACATGGTTATCACACCACTTGCTATAGGAAATTCACCGCCATACCAAAAGAAAATGAAAAGCCAAAAAGTACATCATTATCTTTAAGATCACAACACCCAAGTGTGACTGTTACATCTTCAGGTATTTTTGAAACTCTGTGTATTTTTTGCCGAACTGCCACGAAACGGAATGGAAAGGAAAGAGAACGACTTGGAAAATGTGAAAGTCATGAGGCTGCAACTAATATAAAAACTGCTGCTAACATTCTAAGTGATCAAGATTTATTGACCCACATTAATGACATTGACTTTATATCAAAAGAGGTCAAATATCATCATTCTTGTAGGAGATTGTACCTGAAAAGGGCAGAGATAAAGTCCCGATCTACAGATGAAACTTTTGAAGAATCAGCCAGCGGTGCCCAAGACAGTCGACACAGTGAAGCTTTCCGGTCAGTGTCAACCTTGATTGAGGAGTATATCATTGAAAAGAAAGGTGCAATTTATTTAACTTCCTTGCATCATAAGTATGTTACATTGCTTGGAAGTGAAAAGATTTACACCGCACAGAAAGTGGAAGCAAAGTTACTGGATAAATATGCCAATAAAATCAAAAGTACCAAGTCGTCAAACAAGAAAGGGAAGGTGATTCATGCCCCTCATCTGTCTGTCGAAGATGCACTGCTGTATGCTGAAGCTTATGAAAAGTCTACCAAAGCAAAGTTAGTTGATGCAGCCCTGATCTTAAGGCAACAACTCCTCAATCAAAAAGACAATGCTGGCGACTTAGAATTGCCTTTAACAAATGCCATAAGAAAGGGTAATGGTCATCCTTCAGAGGATCTGATGGCTTTCTTCCGAACCCTTTTTACCGGCTCTTCTACTCTGAGTGAAGAAGGAAGTTACAAAGCTGAACGTCACGTACAGTCTGTGTCCAATGATGTTTTGTACATTGTAACAAATGGGGTTGTTAAACCAGCAAAGCATTTGACACTTGCCATGGGGTTGAAAAGTATGACTGGCAGTAGGAAGGTGGTAGAAATCCTAAATCATTTTGGCCATTGTGTTGGTTACCATATGGTGGAGATGATCGAAACTGAGTTGGCAGAGACAATTCAACAGTCTGACTCCTCTGTTCCAGACGGTCTTCTGAAACAATGTGGTCTACATACTGGAACAGCCTGGGACAATTATGATGAGAAATACTGAAACCCTATCAGGAGCTGGAACTTTACATGACAAATTTGGTATATGTTACCAAGATATTCCATTTATGCCCACTGGATCTGAAGCTTCCGAACCAAACGGTTCTCTAAAACCCGGCAAAGGAAAGAGATCATTTCAAGGTAGGCAGTATGACATTACACCTTACAGGAAGAAGCCTAAAATACAGACTTTTGAATACCAGGTAGCAGAGGATGTGGTGCCAGATAACTATGCAAAATACCTAAAGGTGGACATGTTGTGGATGATGGGTTTCTCTTGGAATCAACAAACACCACTTTGGATTGGTTGGAATGGCAGAGTAACAGCAGACTTGTTACCACAGCAAAAGATTGGTTACATGAAAAATCTGACACAACCACCTACACAATTGAATGTTGTTGCCCAAACCCTAAAAGTGTCCCAAGATGTAGCAAGGGAATGTGGAGAAGAAGTCAGCTTGGTAACCTATGACCTTGCTGTTGCGAAACTAGCTCTGAAAATCCAAGCCCAAGAAGCTCCTGTCTACGACAACCTCTTCATATGCTTTGGTAGCTTCGACATAAGCCTAGCCTACTTTGCATGTCTGGGATACCTCCTCGATGCCTCAGGCGGACCATATCTCTTGGCTGAAGCTGGTATACTTGCTGGTGGTTCAATGAATGGGTTCCTTTCTGGTAAACATTACAATAGGTGCAAAAGGATTCATCTCATACTGTCACTTGCCTTCTGGAAAATACACTTCGGATCCTTTTGTGACAAATACCCTGAATACATCACTGATGAGTTGAAGAATCTCATATGTGAACTTGGAGGAAAACCAACACCAGAGTCTGTTCAGTGTGCATTTGAGAATGAGGATCTCCAGAGAATCACACAGGCATATGCAGCATATTCAAGTGACACGAGAAATGGGCAGCATGGAAAAACTGGACAATTTTGGATGATCTATATTGATCTGATCAATCTCTATCTCATGTTCAGCAGGGCATACAGAACATGTGATCTGGATCTCTTTGTGCACTGTCTTGGACAGATGTGTCCAATCTTCTTTGCAATGAATAGGCCAAACTATTCACGCTGGATGACACTGTACTACCTGAAACTGGTGAACATTGACATTACACATCCCGGTGGAAGACAAATGCTTGAGAATGGCGGACTTGCAATCAAGAGATCTACCCAATCCTTTTCAAGGGTACCAGTTGATATGGCACTTGAACAAACAATTAATGCCGATGCTGCCTCCCGTAAAACAGGAATAGGAGCATTCGCCCGCTCTATGTCTGCTCTTAGTCGTTGGATGGTGACACGATCAGTGCGAACCACAGTTGTTTCAAACCTCCTGGAGATGGCTGATATCAGAAGCTGCGATGAAATATCCCATGACCAAAGACCATCACGTGTTCATAGGGACCAGGAGGATGTTGCAAAGCTCGAACAGGCCATTGAAAATAGTCTCAATCCATTTGGGGATAACTGTGATAAATCACAACTGTATTGCATCAGCTCAGGTAATCCTGTTCCTGAAGATATAGCCTGTGACTTAATCTCTGTCAGGGAGAAAGGACAGGAGTGGTATGAGCAGTTCAAAGATGGATGTTTTAGTGATGCTGACAGGTTTGAAAACCAATTCGAAGGCGTAAAGTTAAAAACTTTGCATCAGCTGGAGTAAAGGCTGCCCTGTCCGTTAAAGACAAGGTGGTTAAAGACCTGAAGTGTACAACAGATCTGTTTGGACGTTTACTTTACCTTGCAACAACATCAAAATTAGACCTTGAGGAAGTACTGAAATATCCACTAACCCCCGTGCCTCTCTGCCTCGGACACACTGATGGTTCCCTGAACAAAACTGACAAATCAAAGCTTTTGTCCTGTCTTGAAAAAAGATTGACCACAATCTGGAAACAATCACTCCCGATGCATGTGTCGTTGATGGTATGTATTTCATACAGTCACAAACACATTTGCCATCCACATATGGAGATGTTGCATTCACTATTCTTGGGAGACTATGTCAGATGGGCAAACGTGTGGACTTTGTGTGTGATACGTACAAATCTCCATCTATCAAGGACAGTGAAAGAAGTCTTCGTGGGAAATGCGAACTCAATACAACCATATCTGGCCCTCTTCAGACAAGACCGAAAGATTTCAGTCAGGCATTACAATCACCATCATTCAAGACCTCGTTTCTTCGCTTCCTTGCTGATGAATGGTCAAAGGACAAATACAGTTCAACTTTGAATGGACATGACTTATATGTTGCCATTGATGAAGTGTGTTACCTTTTCTGCTCAACTGCAAGTGCAGTTGTTAGGTCTGTTGTTCACCAACTTCAATCTGGACATGAAGAGGCAGACACTAGAGTCATATATCACACCGTCACTATAGCAAGTGAGCTAAAGTCTCCAACTATATCAGTTCGTGCATCTGATACTGATGTCCTTGTCCTCCTCCTTCATCACGTCCACCGCATGCCAAACGCCCAAGTGAGGATGGATATTGGGAGTAGCAACAACAACACCCGTCGTTACATTGATATTAGCTCACTTGCAAAAACTATTGGCACAGACATCTGTCAAGCACTTCCAGCATTTCATGCCTTTACAGGTTGTGATTATATCTCAGCCTTCGCAAGGAAAGGTAAATCTCGCCCATTTCAGATAATGGTGTCTTCTACAAGTTTCACAGGGGCATTTGCAAGTCTTGGCAGGCTAGAAGAGCCAACAGAAGAAATTGTTTCTAGAATTGAACACTTTGTCTGTACATTGTATGGGAAAGATGCTATCCATGATGTGAACAAAGCTCGGTACGGTGTCTTCAAAGATAGATATGCCCCCAAGGCAAACTGCTCACTTGACAAGATAAAAGGTTGTGATCCAAGTGCTTTTCCTCCTTCCAAGGATGTCCATTTGAGAAAACTATCCAGAGTGAATTACGTATTACGTAATTTGGAGAAATGCTCATATCTCCAATCCTGTTTCATCCAGCCCCGAGAAACATGGTTGGATGTTGGTCGATGGCAAATATGTGGTGTCATGGTTCAGCGGGAATCAAATGCCTACGTCATTCCAAATGGATTCCTGTATTACTGCATCAACTGTTGACGAAGATGATGATTCAGACTTATCAGATTTTGGATCTGATAGTGATTCGAGCAGTGATGAATCCTCTTACTAATGGGTAATGCTTTTCATGAGACCAGTGACCATGACTATACAACATTTACATGTGTGCTCACTTAAAGCATGGCTGACATGAAGCAACTATGTAATATCATTCTAACTGGTTGCAATCACTTGTGTAACATTTTTATTAGTGTTAAATGTTGTTTGCCAACTATTACTTTAAGTGGTAGAAGTAGTAGATGTAGTAGAAGTACAATTAAATGAAACTTTAATGGCTGCCAATATGATATGTACCAGACAACTATTTACATGTATTTCACTCTTTATGATCAGGATGTGTTGAACCTAAACTAGCTAGAAGAATTTTTCAAGGACACAATTTAGAAAATATTAAATATTTTGTTTACTGGAAAGAAAATAACAACAAATGTTTACATCCCTTAACTGGAACATCTGATCCAACATTATGGGTTTCCTCACCATGTAAATATTTTCATTAGTGTTAAATGTTGTTTGTCAACTACTACTTTAAATGGTAGAAGTAGTAGAAGTATAGTTAAATGAAATTTTTTCCCTAGCTATGTGTTAAGGACAAAAAATGTGGGATCTCAGAATGGAAGAAACAAGAGTTATCTCCCTTTTCCAAAATTCAAATTTGACACCTACCTCACAAAACATGGTGTAGATCCATTAAAAATTGATAGAAAGTTATAATTCTTGTTTCAAATGATTGACTATATGTTTGTCAATCCAAAATGAGAAAAACATACTCTTCAATGGTTTATTTGTATATATAGTGAAAAACGAAAGATGTGCGTTTTACCATTTTTTATGTAATTTCTGTCTTTTCTGTGTACTGACACAGTAGTGAGTTCAAAGATGTACTTAATGTTATCTTTTATTAAAGCCAAATGTGTTGGCTTTCATATAATATATAATATGCAACTCTTTATTTGTATTTCATACGCAAAAAATCAATATTTCCAGTAGTGGGGTAGTGGGTGAAAAAAATGCTGAGTCATGACTTCAGCGCCCTCTAGCGAAAAATTGGTCAAGTTTTGACTCGTAAGACTTACATATTCTGAAAATTCAGACATTTTCCCATAGGAACCAATGTTGAAACCTTTTGGACCTCTGAGGTAAATAAATCAGGCCTTATCTCTTGGACTATACAGAAATATACTGATGAATTATCAGTGGAGAACCCAATTATTTTAAATTCATCTTATAGGGACGACTTCATTGGTGATATTCCTTCCTTTTTCGTGTGCATTAAGTATCAGATTTTGTATATAGAAGCATCTTTCAATAATCGAAATACTTTTCAGATCTTCAACGGGAAGTATGAAATATGTACTACAGTGTGTACTTCCCGTAGTTTGTACTATAGGCCTCAACGGCCATTATCTACGAAAATAAAGAGTCTGAGTCTGAGTCTGAGTAAAGATATTTGTACCTGGAACACATCTTGCACGACCGAGTCGAGTCACCTCACACCGTCTGTTTTCTTGACATGTCCTTTGAGTGCATCCACCAGACAGTGACTAGAAGGAAAATCGATTGGAACTGAGCAGACGACATTGGTTGAAAGGGGTTGATTTTTTAAAATATCAAATCGTTCGATTTTCAATATGTATTTCAGTCTGATGACACAGACACGTTAACGATTAACCATAATCCTAGGCCTTAAAACAATGAAGGAAGGAACTTCATTTGTCAAAACTTATCTGAAACAATTGGAATTAACGCCATGTTTGATGCATGTGACCGTATGTCACTTGCCTACAAACCCCTGGATTGACTCGATTCTTTACTGACCATGTTATATAACGGGTATGTTGCTGCGTGCAATCACTGGATTGTCAGTGAGTACAACCGCCATCATATAGCGGTTGTACATTGCAGTGTTTAACAGCAAACATGTCCATGATGACTTAAAATGGCTTTTTATTTTAACTTATACACCAAATTGTTTTTTCTGCACACAAGTTTTTCTTATGTATCAATAGGAAACCCAAATGTAGCGATGACGTAATCGTGCATCATACTGTGGCTACAAAGCAGATACAGTGGACTCCCTGGAAACTGACATCCCTCTAATCCGACTAACTGGAGGACTAACTGGTAATTACTTGCTAATTACTTGTTCTATGGATTCGTAGATTGGTGAAATCACATGTTAAATGCTTGTTATGATTCACTGACTTTCAGATAATCTCAATATAGCAAGAGCATTGCCAAAGCAAAAACTTCTGACCACCCGCCAAAACACCATGACTGACTTCTTGGTTAATCATTAAACATTATTAAAAATTTCATCATTTGTCATTACACAGAGGATATTTGTTAAAAACGAGACAATGATATACACATTCATTTCACTGTATTTGTTCAATGTTGTCTGTGTGTGGTTCAATTTGGACTGAGTTTCTAACAACTCGCTCTAAACCGACATCCCTCTAAACCGACATTTTTCACCGGTCCCAAGCGATGTCGGTGTAGAGGGAGTCCACTGTATTTCTTTATTTAGATATGTTCTCCTTTCTGAGAAGATTGTACTGGAACAATCTAAAACACTTGACATTTGGACCACTTTTAACGACAGACAATCTTATAATTTCCGCACCTTAATGTAAATTAAAACACCCTTTCTTTGGGGACAAATATTGAAAACATTCAGTTGTAACTGTGGTAAAACGAGGTCTGTAGGATCGCAATTACATGTTGCCCTTCCAATGGTCTTGTGATTTAAAACAAACTAGAAAAAAATAGACTGTGCTCACCAACCTTTGGCCAGTGTTGAATATCACTGAAGAGGAATCCTGTTCTGTCAACAACGTTAGCAGTATCACTACTGTTACTGTTCAGTAGGCAGGTGCGCGCTTTCTTGTCAAATCCAAAGGACAGACATGCTGAGGACATCAGACATTCTGATGCACAGGTGTAGAGAGACCGACTCCAGAACTTTCTGAACACCTGAAGTTCCATGTACTTGTCGCTCTGAACTACGGAATCCACGTCCAAACAGTTGTCACCACAGACTAACTTCACGATTCCTAAAATTAGGAGAACAAATTCGCTATGGTTAGACGACATTTGCATCATCTTGATCTCCAACTGTCAAGTTGTGACTAACACTACTTAATTATGTTAACATTGCAATCTAATTGCCTAGTTACCGTGTGCCTTTAAATGTTTTGATGTAAAAGCTTGGAAACATCAATAAAAGAAGATCATGATGATTTCAGTATGCTGTTCAATCATATTCAACGTTGCTCATTAGTGTGTGGTCTTGAGAACGTACAGAATCGCTCACATGCATTCTACTGAGAAGCATTATGATCTTTACGTTTAATAGTCAAGAAATGACGATCGTTAAACATCTGGAGTATTCTGTTCAGTCTATTTTGCATCACTTTTACTGCTATCGTCATTTTAAGAGTTGAAACAATATTCTTCTGACATTCTGTTGCATGCACAAGTATGTGTTGTATTGATCTCCAGCAAGTTTATTGTCTTGTCTGACAGCGATCTCCGGACTCAGTCAAGTCACTAGCTGAACACGAGTAACGAAAAGATTAGATTTCGTTGTGAGCACAGGTTGAAGACTTCCATCGAAGGCTGACGATCCACGGCCAGTGGGTGATAGCAATAATGGTTTGGGTACATGGGAATGTTTCAAGACAATCAATTGATATTCAGCTCGTTTCATAGGTTGAAAAGGGCATTTTCAGCTGGTGGGAATTTGGTGGCAAAAGGGTACCGAGTCTACTTTTGTGTTGTTGTTTAATGCCGCAATCAGACATCTGTATGCTTGCACCTGATGAAGGAGCAAGCATACACACCGAAACGTTGTGTTGTTCACAATAAAGAAGTTGACGTCAATAAATCTTGCTTTTCGTAGAAATGCATACAAATCAGCTTGTAAGATGGCCAAGGGTAACCATGACGACAAACAATTTATTGAACTGAATGATACAATGGTTGATCCTAAATCGTTCTGGCAAAAACTGAAAACCTAACCGGTGGGGTTTCAACATCAAATAATATATCTCCAGAGACTTGGTTTAGCTATTTTCGGGACCTGTTTTCTGAAAACCAGAATGACCCCATCAACGATCCATCGTTCGATGATTACATCATGTTCAATCAATGTGACTTGCAAACACCTGATGATATATTGATTCACCAGTTAGTATAGGTGAAATATACGCCAGTATTACCAGGCTTAAGGCAAATAAAGCGGCTGAGGGTGATTACATAATTGGCGAAATGTTTAAAGTTTCAGCAAATTTCCTCCTACCTTTTCTGGAAATTATATTTAATTCTCTTTATGATAAATGAGAGTTCCCTTTGTTCTGGTCCAAAGCTATCATTATCCTATTTTATAAAAATGGAGATCAAACTTTACCTGCAAATTACCGTGCCATATCACTTCTCGGTTTATTTGGCAAACTATATACTTATATCTTGTACAACAGACTGAGTGCTGCAATACAATTAAAGAAGAATAAGCTGGTTTCAGATCAGGATACTCTACCATTGATAATATATTTACCTTACAGGCCCTTATCAGTAAATACCTCTCACAGAAGTGTGGAAAACTCTATGTTTGTTTTATTGATTTTTCAATAGCGTTCGATTCTGTCAAGGTGTAAAAAGCTGTAGTATCTATTCAAAAAGAACAAACTTGGTTCAAAAATGGATAAAGTGTGGCGATCTGTGTACCAAAACGCGAAAGCATGTGTGCGTACATCGAATAACGTAAACACAGAAGTATTTGAATGTCCTCTAGGGGTACGGCAAGGTTATGTTCTTAGTCCGTTTCTGTTCTCATTTTTCATTAATGAATTGGTCGATCAAATCACGTCCACTTGTACAAATGGCGTTCAGTTATTCCCTGACTTACTCAAGCTGTTCCTTGTTTTATTTGCTGATAACGTGGTTCTGTTGATACAAATTGATATTTTAGAGAATTACTGCGAAACATGGAGTCTCCAAGTAAATTTAAACAAGACAAGTATTGTTGTATTTAAACATGGGGGCAGACTTTCTAGAACGGAAAAGTGGATCTACAAACTTGCTCCAATTAAAGTTTCAGCATCATACAAATACCTTGGTATGCTATTTACTAGTAATCTCACTTGGAAGGCATCTATAAACAATCTTACTCTTAATGCTAAGAAGGCTCTCATAACTGATCAACGTAGTTTGTTTAAGTTTGAAAATCTCTCATATGAACTATAGTTTACAATCTTTGACACTAAAATCCTGCCAATTCTATTGTATGGTTCTGAGATATAGGGCATTCAAAGGTTTAAAAGCATTGGAAAAATACAGTTGCAAGCATGTAAACGTTTTCTGGACATCCGCAGATCAACAGCTAGTGATACTGTATTAGGTGAATGCGGAAGATACCCAATCTATATCTTGGCACTGAAACGTTCTATCTTATATTGGTTAAAAGTCATCTCAATGCGTCCTCATTGCTATCCCCTTACAAGCCTGTAAGATGTTGTTGTATTTGGTTGAAAATACAAGTGAGGCTGGAAATAAACACAACTTGCCAATGTTAATTAAACATGCATTGTTCCAACTTGGTCTTGGATATGCATGGGTTGGACAGGGAGTTGGGAATGCTACAGCATTTTTATCCATTGTTCAACAACGATGTAAGGATTGATTTCAGCAAGAGTGGACCAGAAATATTCAAACTGGAAAATGTTCATATTGGTATTCTTTGTTTAAACAACACTTTCTGTATAAAAAGCATTTAACAGTTGCAAATGTAAGGAAATTAAGGGTATCGTTATCGCAGTTTCGATGTGGTTATTATTATTTACTGTATTTAAACGAATATGTCATGCTACAGAGAACCAATCCTGCAAAATGTGTGACAGGGATATTACTGAAGATGAATACCATATCCTTGTCATCTGCCTACAGTATGAAGATCAAATGGGCTATTATATACCATCTATGTATACGTCCTGTCCCACATTTTACAAACTCTGTATGCTAATGTCAACCGAAAATGTACAGCTCCTTCAGAATATTGCTACGTTTATACACCATGCACTGTTAAAACGCAAACGCGTTTGTACCACTCACCCATTATAACTGTTTTTACGTGTACTACGGGCCTCTGGCCTACAGTTCAGAAATAAAGAAAAAGAAGAGTACAAAATTTGATTCCTGGGCTCGATTCCTTGTGATCGAAGCGAAAGATCGTGTACCGATAAAACTGAACCCATTTGCCACTTCGAAGCCTATTCATGGTTATTGTGGGGAGGTTACATGTCACCCGACTTAGTTCTGGCTCCATGCTTGTAGAATGTGTAAGGAAATAGCAATCCAGCAATCTTTTATCAATCCAGCAATTTGCCAGTGTTGAGGTTATTGATTCTGAACGTACAACACTCAACGTCTGCAAAGGCATTGTTCGTGACAGGACCCGTTCCTTGTCCGACATGTCCGATCAAGAAATAGCAGTAGAATTCAAAGACCAAGGTGTGAATTCAGTGAAACGTTTCACCTGAAAGAAAGCTGATTCAACCATTGAACACACTAATACGTACTTGTTTACTTTTTCACGATCTACAATACCACAGTCGATCAAAGCTTGTTATGTCAACATCGGGGTGGAGGGGTATGTCCCCAATACACTCAGATGTTTTAGATGTCAGAAGTTTGGCCATGGCTCCAAGAACTGTACTCGTTCTGTGGTTTGCCAGAGCTTTGGTAACAGCCATGACAATATTTATTGTGAACAAGCATTGAAATGTGTAAATTGTGATGGCCAGCATATGGCAGCCTCAACACTCTGTCATGTTTGGCAAACAGTATCTATAATTCTTAAGGGGCGGTGGGGTAGTCTAGTGGTTAAAGCGTTCACTCGTCACGCCAAAGGCCTGGGTTCGATTTCCCAGATGGGTACAATGAGTGCAGCCATTTTCTTTCGTCCCCGCCGTGATATTGCTGGAATATTGCTAAAAGCGGCGTAAAACCATACTCAGTTGGAAAAAGTCTTAAAGGTCTCATGCAACGTAAAACTTTGTAGATTCTGATACCTTCGGTATGGACATACAGTAACAAATTATCAAAAATGCAAATTCAACTTATAAAGTTGATAAATAACGCGATGAAAAAAACCCTGCGAAATCAGAGTTCAAACGATTCACTAGATTCACCCCAGCTGGGGTGAAACGTGGTTTCAACATCTGTGCTGTGCTGCGCTGCACTGCGCTCATGGCGCATGCGCAGTGAATAGGTTCGCGCTGCTTGGAAGCGGTATGTCCGGATGAGGTCGTGAGCAGGAGTAGTCTAATCTTGGTAGTGTAGTCAAACAAATAGTAAATAATCTTCTCGTTACATTAAAGAACCTTGTTAAGGATCTAGATCTACTCAGCTACGTGTCAACCAGTGAGGCGTTTGACATTTCATGACGGAAAACCTTCGCTGGCGGTGAGTACTGGCAGTAGGCTTTGATGTGAGCTATTTTTCTAATGTTTTGTTGATATTTCACAGGCGTGAGCTTTTTGAATGTTATGACAGTAGATTACCGATTTAAAGGTTTATATAATTTCATTTGACTATTTCACCACACGTTCTTCTTACCGAGTCACTTTCTCAGATCGATACTTAGAAGCAACGTCATTATTTAGCACTGTCAGAATTTCTAACTGTGATATAGATGTGCCTCTGTCACAGACAAAACTCAATGTCTGTTTTATTGACACTTATGTGTCTGCCTGCCTGTCTGCTAATGACAATATTCAATACACAACTTCGATCACTGACAACATCCAATTTGAACGTAACACCTATCAGGCTATACACCATAAACAAAACGCATTGATTTCTGGCTCGTTCACCCGAGTTCTGTCTCTGTCACATTATGTAATAACACAGACAGGCAGGTGTGATGTACACATGACATGTCTGTTGACTGCAAAATGTTATACACAAAAAATGAGCATTATTTACAA